TACATACTCGCCAAAATCAACGTATATGTAGAGGGAATAAGCCTTTTATTTTCAACTTCTATGGAATAGTTTAATTATCTAAAAAGTGCAGCACGTGCACAAAGCTCTGGCTGTGCATGGGGTCCATGCAGATTGGGACCACTTTGGATCCACAATATGCAACCTTAACTTGCAATTTTTTACGAGAGGTTGTCTCCATTACTCGAACCTGTGACCTCCGGGTCACATGGGGACAACTCTTACTGTTGCACCAAGGCTCACATTCCACTAGGTTAATTATTTACCTTATCAAATACAAAAGTTGCTAGTTTGATATTCTTTCTTTCTTTTTTCTTCCTACTAAAATGTAGTCTTTTAGTAAATAAATCAAAGCAAATAATGCCAAAAAATTGTAACGAATATTAAAAAAATGGCTCTCATAAGTGTCTAAGAAATGTCCAGGAAATGTCCATGAGTGTCTCAAGTAAAAATTATCTTATAAAATTGACGACATATTTGAGAAGCCGAGTGTCAAAAAAGTGCCAGTACCTGACATGGGTCCCAGGCATTTACTACGTCATGCTTGCAAGCGTCAGTGCTATATAATTTGTTGTTTTCATCCTCGCTCTTTGTTCTGAGTCAGCCCTTATATTATTCTTCTGCCTTCTCCCTTATTACATTTCTGGTATCATGACATATTCCTTCTTGTACAATTGTACTAGTACAATTAATTTAAGGGTAAATTTGTTTCACCATCCTATAGGAGCTGGGAGAAAGCAGCCTAGTCAGGCCCCATTAGACTAGATTTAGGTAGAAAGGTTTCCATATACTTCTAAAAATAACTGTCGTTACTCAAATATGATTTAGAACCTCATAACAAATGTTATTAACCACTTAACGAATGTTATCAACCACTGACTTAGGCTCAAAAAAGTTGTAATCATGTTAAGGTTCCTGCTAAAACAGCTTGCCCCTTGCTCACAATTCAATCTGCATGCCTGCTTGTAAACATGAACAGGATTCATACAGGTTCGGTGTACTTAAAATGTAGGTAAGAATACACCATGAGTGCATATATGGAATAGGACACTGATACAGTGAGTGTGGCTCTTTTTCCCTCAGTTCTTTCTTCCTGTTCATTAGCTACCAATATGTTTCAGCATTGAATTGTTGTTTATAAAAACACACTACAGCATACCATAGAAGACCAAACTTTAGAACATAAAGATAATTGGCATATATAATAATGTCAAGAGGAAGATTATGTGTTATGTATAATACATCTCAAGAATTGCCCGAGTTTTGGCTTCAGCCCATATGGAACAGCCGCACACATGCATCAATACAACTTAGTTGCATCAATATTTGTGATATCTTCTGAAGAGCTATACTCAAGTAAATAAACATAAAGGAAACAACTGGATGCAAAATTAATATACTTAATTATAGGGAGAAAAGCACATTCACATTCATAAACACAATCTGACATGTTTTAGCAACGAAGACCTCTTCCCGTTTGGAAACCAGTTTGAGTATACACCAATATTAACATATATCAGTACTAATTATTATTTAAATTTCAAAGATGCTGTCCATAAAAGAACTAGTCATGTGTTGGCAAAGATTATCAGCATGGTTGAAACTACAAATATTTGTCCATACCTTCACAACTGACATGCAAACCAAAGCAGGACAACTTTCATTTGGAAAACCGCAAACAACAAAGTAAAGAGAGAAAAAGGATGACACATGGCCAAAACTTATTTTGATACTAGAATTTCAATTTTAACAGAATTTTTTACAGAATTATCTATAAAAGGCAAGCTAGTAGTTAGAAGTGTATCCGCTTTGAGAATATTTTTTTTTAGAACCTACTTATTACGAAAGAATATTTTCATATGGTTAGAATCTTTTGTTATTAAGAACTAGTGTATTGACGATCATGTTTTGCAAATCTACTTATAATCAAAGAAAAAGTTTTCTTCAATAAAGAGAATGAAGATATTAATGAAAGAAATTATGATTACTTTCGATTAAGTGATATATTCAAGGATGTGAAACTGTACTTTATGAGATGTGAAACCACAAAACAAAGATGTGGAGCCTTACACAGTGTGAAATCGTTAATTCACGCATGAAGCCAATATCTTAATCTAATTCTTCTTCTTCATCTTCTTCTTCTTTTTTTTTTTTTTTGCCCCCCACCCCCTCAAAAAAAAAACAAAATACATGAACTATTAAGGTAAAAAAAAAGGCCTAGCTCTGTACATTTATACATGTATTATATATTATATGAATATGCTAACACAAATGTATAACAAACACTAATGTGTGAGGTTACCAAGTGTTTACAATTAAGTTTTGCTCAAACTACTCGGACAAGTTTGGCGATGGAAGTTTGGCTTCTAATTTTTATATCACTCATATTAGTAAACTATCAAAAAACATAAATTTTGAAACTTATGTTCTCACTTGTGTTTCTATAATACGCGGTATTTCATAAAGATTTAGATAGTGATACCTGTTTTCCAACTACTAAAAAAAAGGTTAAAAGTATAGAGACATATTTATAAACTAAGTAGGCACTAAACAATTAAGTTTTACGTGATTCTCATGCAAATGATAATTATAATAATTATATGCTTATAATAAACATCAAAATAAATTGAAAATATGCCAAATATTTGTATTTTACAAATAAATTTCTGTGTACCATATGCGCCTTGACCAGAATCTACATACATAATAGCCTCATATAAGCCCCGCACTAAAAAAATTTGCATGCATTGGTGGAACATATACTGTTTTGCATACCTTTGAATATATCATCTGTAATGCACCCAAAATTGAAATTTTATATTTGTTTGAAAGAAATACCCTTCGAAAGCTTCGTTGGAAGTGCATTTCACATGCCTATGATCTAGTGATTGTAATCGGGATTTATTAAGCAGGAAGATCAATAGACTAGTTATAAGATGGATCTATAAAGTAGTGATAAGGTGCTTTTATTTTAGCGCCTTCAGACTAGCATAACACTGACAGATGCCTCAGCAAGTCGTTGATCCCTGAGTGGGCCATTGATCCTTGAGACAGCATGAACCCTAAACAATCAGACAAGAAAGAGGTACTTATTACCCAACAACTGACTCTGTAGACTTTGTACTTCACACCACAGCTCACAACTGCTTATAGCTTCTTCAAGAGTGGAAACATGGCAACTCTTACGAGGATTCATGTTAGATGGAGTACATGTTTGATGAGAATGACCACAATTGTACTCAAAGATAATGATTACATTTTGATATGAATATATATGATTTTAATAAGCCAAGTTCTGATGCATAGGCCTGTTCGACCTTAATAATATGAATTAGCAAAGGTGAGAGTTGATGTGCAATTAAAATGACGTGGGTTACATTTGAAAAAAGAGAACAGAATAGAAATCATAAAATTGGTGAAAACAAAAGAGTTTGTAACAGGTTTTTCAATAATCAGTGCTCTAGGATAAGAGTGGTTCGACATTCAGAATAAAGCATACTGACAAGTGACAACCCACTAATGGAAAAAGTGTATTCCATTGCATAAGCCGTGCAACTACAGAAAAAAAGCTAGACAATGGTACTTATGTATCACAAAATTAAGAACCACCATTGAAAAATGCAGAAGTTTAGTTGTCATACCATTTGGAATATCCTTTAAAGGGGTCCCATGGCCCTAAACAAAGCATGTAAACAAAAATGAATAGTTATCATAAAGCAGTTGTAATAGCAACATATTGCAGGAATTAAAGATGTAAGGCAAGGAAGAAGGACCTTCTCTATCACAACACCCCTGTTTGGCTCTTTCTCAATGACTTCTACCAATCTCTCCACAGTTTTTCTCTCACGCACAGGACGCTCAATTGAAGATATAGGAGAACTTAGCAATTCTTTGGCTTTTTTCATGCCCCCTTTCTTCTCCTTTTCTTCACCAGTCCTTTCCCCTTCTTTCCTCTCCTTTGCTTCCCCCTTGTTACCAACTTTACGCCCACTTCTAGACCTTTTCTTTTTTAACTCTCCTATCTTTTTATTGTCATCCCCCACCTCAGTATTTCCACCATCTTCCTTCTCCTTTACATCACTTTCCCCCAATTTTACCCCTTCATCTTCTCCAGTTTCCTCTGTACTCACTTTCTCCTCTTCTTTTACATGGCCAGCATCTTGCATTTCAACATCCACTGTTGCCTTTTCACTTTTCCCTTCTTCCTTGTCTTCAGTTGTTTCCTCAATATCCATCTTCCCCTCGTCCTTCTTTACTTCCAACCCCTCTTTTTCTCTCACATCTCTAGTTTCTTCCACGTCCTTCATCTTTTCATCACCTTCCTTTTCTTCTGCATTCTTCTTATCTTTCTCATCATTAACATCTTTCATGCCACTCTTGTCTCCCCCTTCCTTTGTTTCTTTGCCACCATTCATTTCTTCAATTTTTCTTTTATCTTCCCCCTTTTGTTTTGCTTCTTCCACCATACCAGTTTCTTTTGCGTCATTATTCTCTTCCCCCTTATTTGTTTCTTCCACACTCTTCCCCGATTTTCCATCCTCTTTGTCGTTCTCTGTCTCAACACCATTCGTTTCTTTCCTGTCGTTTGTTTCTTCCACATCTTTTTTCTCCTCCCTGTTACTCTCCAAGTTTCCAACCTGTTTGTCCATATCTTCAAGATCATTCTTCTCTTTCCCATTGTTTGTTTCTTCTGCGCCTTGTTTTCCCTCCCTGTTTATCATTTCTTCTGTACGATCATTTTCTTTCTTAACCTCCCCCTCTTTGACGTCTTTCTTTTCCTCTCCATGACTATTCGACACAGAAACCTTTGCTCCAGAATCCTTCAGTGGACCTGATCCGTTTGCCATAATAGTCGCCTCAACTTGAGGTCCTGGGTCTGGCTCTGTCATTTCAAAACTTTGAGCAGCAGCAAAGATCTGCAGGAGATTACCAAAATATGAAGCTTGACATATATGGAAAGTAATTTAATATTATAACACCTGGAACCACATAAAAAGAAGCTTCGACAAAATCACAATCAATTTAGAAACAATAACAATGTTAAGCCTAGAAAAAGACAACCTGCCTTGAAGAAAAAGCAAGCTCAAAGAAAAACTAATAGATACACCTCATGAACTGTATTGAGAATAACAAGCTAAAATTAACAAGGGCCAGCATGGTGATCCAGATCAGATAGAATATTTTAACTATAAGATATAATCTCCACTACCTAAAATACTACCAAAACCAAAAGAAAAATCTGAATTCGTACAGCCCAAAACATATTAAACCATTCATTAATGACAGAATCTCCACAATAAGAAACCTCAGACTGCATGATTCTAACAATGAAGTGAAGCCATAGAGACTAGAGAGTGAACTCGAAGCTTAAAACTAAGTATCGATATAATCTTGAGGTTTAATGGCCGAGCTCTGCCGTTCCAAAATTTCTAGTAGAAGCAGGTATTTGCAGGGGATTACCACAATATGAAGTTTAACCCGCATCGAAAGTAGCCGAACAATATAAAACCGTAAGCAAAATACACTGAAGATTCCACCAGATTGCAATCAATCAATTTAGAAACAAAGAATGATGTTAAGCCCACAAAACACTCATATGAACTAAAGAAAGGCAAACCGAGAGGAAAACTGATAGATATACTTAATCATGAACTGCATCGAACATTTAAAAAAAAAAAGAGCTAAAATTGACAGAGATTACGAAGGTAAGCCAGATCAAAATCCAATCTTTGACCTCCACGGTCTAAACTACTCGCAAAAAAGAAAAGAAAAATCTGAAAATTGAACATCGTAAAGTGTACTCAAGCGCTAGCTAACGACAGAAAATTCTACTGGAAGCCCTAGAGAGTGAGCTCGAGGCTCAGAAAGCAGAAGGAAAACTAAGCATCGAAATAAGAGGGGCTAAAAGACAAATAAAATCGTTTCCGCTCAGAAACCCTAAACTGGAACAAGCGAGTACAGTTCAAAAACAAGTTTTTTAAAAAAAAAAATAGTAATACAAAATTGGCAGCCTGAGTAGAGCGCGGGCATCAAATTGAGGGAAATTAGCGGCTACTAACCGGAGATTTTGGATGGGGGTGACTTTTTTTTTTTTTTTAAGAGCTTTTTTTTTCCTTTTTTTTTTTTTTTTTTTTTACTTCCCTCCCCTCTTGAAGCTGAAAAAAAGGGGGGCCCTTTTTATGCGGGTAGAGAGTGGCTCCAGGGTCCGGACCCAAAATATGGATTTCAATGGGGTTTATTATTACATCTACTTTGCGGATACAACCATGTACTGTTCGGATTTTGCATATTACAGCTTTTGATCCATTCTTCTCCGTTTCGTATCTATCTATTATTACTATTATGTCTATGATGATAAGAGAAGCTTTTTTTTTTTTGGGTGTTCTACTCCTATGTTAGTTATCTTTTAAAAAATAAAAAATTCCATACACGTCCAAAAATTGTACGTACACTTTGCAATAATTTGATAACTTCGCACGGGGAGAAACTTAGAAGGAAAAAAACCGCACCGTAATACCCACGATGCAAATCTCAGTTACAGAGAAATTGGTTAATGCGGCTAGAAATCTCATTTGTTATGTTATGTTGTTCCTTTTTTCATGCTAAAGAGTGAGAGTGAGCAAATATGTTATGTTGTTATGTTGTTCCTTTTCAATTTTGTGAAAGCTAAAGAGTGAGCAAATATGTTATGTTGTTCCTTTTTTCATGCTAATATTTAAAAATATTGCAACCTTTTTTATTTTTTGGTGAGCACATTGGATCTATTTGAATCTGATTTACAATTGTTTCACGTCCCATCTACAACAAATATACGCCACATGCTATAATGAATGAACTTTCCTAAATTTCTGTATAGGCATTACTAATTTGTGAATAATCATATAAACTTAATACATCGCTTTTTTTTATATACATGTTCATAATATCATGAATTGTTAATGTGAATATTCTTATTCGCATAAATATTTTATTGTACAGGCATGCGTCGCATGAACAGGAGTACTAGTCTATATAAGGTGAATTATAGAACTACCCTCCAAGATTTATAAAAGTGATAGAAAACCTCCTAATATTTTAAAATAAACACTTTATAAATATGTCCAAAAGAAGTCATAAACGAATTCCATCTCCCAAAAGCTCATTCAGCACAACACTTGCGTCAGACTCAATTTCCATAGTAGTTCCACTCATACTTCTAGTAAAACGGACACCTGAAGTAGTGCCAGTGCCTTAACCATAGATCGTGAATATCCAACAACACAACTACCACCATAAACTCCACTAAATATACCACAATGATCTCAAACTATAATAGCAAATCCCTTTAATTTTCCACCCTCCAAGAATGTGTTAGGTCTCATGTTTATGAGCCTATTATTGTAGGCTGTCTAAAAATTACTGTTGACGGCTGATCCCTACCAAGCACTGATAATGAAAGTTACAATTCGACGACCTCCATAAGGCTACAATTTGGAGACTTTCACGACAATCAACGAAGGTTACAATTCAACGACCTTCACAACAACCGATGGAAGTTCTGATTCAACGGCCTTCACAATCAAACGAAGGTTACAATTCAACGACCTTCACAACAACCGATGGAAGTTCTGATTCAACGGCCTTCACAATCATCAACAGGAGTTACAACAACGACCTTCACAACAACCGATGGAAGTTCTGATTCAACGGCCTTCACAATCATCAACAGGAGTTACAACTGAAAACTCTCACATTCCAAGGAGCCGAGATGAAGATCACAATCTTTGCAACGCTCAAGAGGCTACAAATTAACAGTTTCTTAAACCCTAAGCGCAGAGTTCATCTATGCGTTCCAGACTCAAAACGCAGAGCTCGTCTCTGTATTCCAGACTCAAAACACAGAGTTCATTTTTGTGTTCCACACTCAAAACGTAGAGCTTATGGCTCACCACTGTGTTTTTCAGCCTCAAGTGCAGAACTCAACTCTGCGTTCCAGGTCCAGAACACAGAGTTCGTGTCCAGATTACAAATTTTACATTTGACTCGTTCAAACATGAGCTGGACGGTTCCAAAACCGTTTCTCATGATTTTGAGGGGATCGCAACCACACTAAGGAGCGATTTTAGGGGGTAGTTACACCCCCAAAACCCCTATAAATAGGGAAAACTCAACTAAGTTCGGATCCTTTGATTTTTAAGTATTTTTGGATCTAGAGATCGGCAACAGAAAGCTTGGAGCATCTTCCGGAGCTATTCTTGGAGCTTTTCTTCATTCTTAGCTATAAACCGATTTCGGTTAGATCAAATCAACTCTTTTACATAGTTCTAAACTCGTTCTAAGTTTCTAAACTCGTATTGAGTTCTCAAACTCGATCAGATTTCTTAAACTCGTGAGAGTTTTAAACTTACCACGCAAGTTCTCCTCAACGTCGATTCAAGAGGAATCTATTAGACCGTAGAGGGGGGTGATTAGGGTCTTATGCTCATCTAATCCGTTTTTATGCCAATTAAAACTAATTAAACAAACTATTCTTGCAAGATAGATATATAATGTGTTATGAGCAAGAATAAACAATATGAGCAAAGGGATATATCCTAGTAAAGAGATATATGGTGAATTATATGCAAGGATATATAAATTAATACAAGGGTGAAATAAATAATCTATAAATATGATAGGGCAATATGAAGAGTAATACACAAAGGCGATATAAGATATGAATACAAGAATAAGTATGTCAATGCAATCACAAACAAAAAGATATGATCACGGAGTTCGGTCCCCACGACCTACGTCTCCGCTCCTCACCTCGAGGAGATCTCCACTATCACAACAGGGTTTTCTATGCTCACCCGAATAACGTTTACACCACACAATATAGGTTTTTAATGATCACCGATCAACGTTCACAATCTCATAATGTAACTACACTCCACACCCTCTAAGTGTTGGTCTCTACCCCGTGTCCTTCCTCAAGTGCTCGGAATTACCACCTCTCTCTAGGCTTTACTACCGACCCCACTCCTCTTGGAAGCGACCCCGTCTCTCACCACACACTCCTCTCGGTGTACTAGTGTAATACAAAGTGAATCTCACAATAAGCACAATACAACAAATGATTGTTCTCTAATATGGATAAGAACACAATGTAAGCTCACACTCAATGATACACTCCCCACAACCCAAATTATACTATGTATGAAATATTATAAGCTCAATGGTTGTGTGTGTACAAAGAGAAATAAATCAAAACTAAACTCAATTATAAAATCTAGCTTAATAAAAATGATTAACAATCAAATATATAAATGTAAAGCTAGAATTGAGTTTAGAAACACTTCTCTAATAACAAGAAGGAGAGATTGGAAGATTGAAAGCTCAAACCGAAATTGATCTCCTCTTGTGAAACATTCTTCGCACTTAAACAAACTTGAAAAGAAACTTAAAACACACTTAAAAACTCTTAAACTTCTTTTAAAACTTTTTTCTCTTTGATATTTAGAACTAAGGATTGGGGGGGGGTATTTATAGGAACTCCAAAGCCAAGAGAAAACAAGGCAAAAAGACCAAAAACCCAAAGACAGTATAATCTGGAAATATAGCGGTTACAATGTTATGAGTCGACTCAGTACTGTTCATGAGTCGACTCATAAGTAGCCGTTACAGGCTAAAAACCAACTTATGGGTCGATTCATAAAAATCATGAGTCGAATCATAAACCATGGGTCGATTCATAAGATCATGAGTCGACTCATCAGAAACAAAACTCATTTTCCAGCACAATTTGTGAGTCGACTTATGACAAGCATGAGTCGACTCAACCTGATGGGTCGACTCATCAGAAACAAATTATAAACTACGTAGCAGTTTGTGAGTCGACTCAATACTGTTCATGAGTCGACTCATAAACAACTCATAAACATGTACACAGAAAATTTCAACTTTGAACCTTGTTAAAAAATATTAAATAAATTCCAAAAATTATAAAACTTTGGGAAATATCTATAAACATGTTAATGAACATGTTACAAAAGGAATTTTTAGAATTTCACTTCTCATTTGTGAAAACTTGTCATTTTACAAAAATATCCAAAACATGAAAACATGAGATACTTGAATTTTGATATTTTGACATAAACCAAGTTTTGAAACTTTATAAAATGATTTTATAGACTTAAAGAAAGATGTAAACTATTATTATGAAGTCTATAAACAAATTACTCAATATTTTCACAAATTTATATTTATATAAACATGAAAACCAAAAAACAAAACGTGTATGTCTATATAACTGTATATATATATATATATATAAGAAACCAAAACTTATATGTGTATAAGTGATTGAGCTTAAAGTATCAACACACATAATATAAACCTAAACTAAGTATACCCAAGCTATGATCTTTATCTTCAACAAGCTCTTCTTGGTAAACTTGCGGATGAAGCTTGAACTTGGATCTTCAACTTGAATTGCATTGCTTCACTCCACTATTACCGCTAACATCCATTTGATATGATCGTTATGGCACAATTCCATCCAACCTCCAACATATTGTTCGTCAACAATAAATAGAAAATCACAAACACTAGACAAACAACATTAGTCGTAAATTATTTGTTAAACATCATCAAAACAAGAAGGCCATCAGAATCAACCAAGTTCTACGAGGCGAAGCGTTCGGATCGTCAACGGGATACAAGATTCAAGCTCCCATCGACACCAAGAAGAACCCAGTTTTAAAACAAATGGAAAGGTCTTCGTCGATCTTTCTCTCTTTTGTAAATCGGGAAACCGATAAGAGAAATTGTAATTTCTTCTTCTAAGTCAGTTAGAGAGAGATTACAGTGAGAGATCGATTATATTTATTCTTTTCCTAAGTCAGTTAGGGAGATTAATACAGAATTTTATTCTCATTTTTTTTTCAATTTTCCCACGAACAATTGTCTAATCTGAATTTTTAATGATTAACAAACAATTCCTAATATCGTTTTTGAGTATTTGCATTTGCTTGTTAGGTATCCTACACAAACATCCTCCGATGGAGGTTGGATGGACTTGAGCTTTAACAATGATATTCATAGACGTTGGAGGAA